GTGGGGCACTCTGGTGCCGCTAGAGGCAAATGGTGGTTTTGTGCTGTGTGCAGTATCTCTTGGGGGGGGGGGGGCCTGGCCTTGCCTTTCCTGGCTCTGAACTTGGGCTCTGCTTCTGCTGCAGCCACTGTACGGGTTTCATGCCCAGGAGTTCATTCCCTTCCGCTACGCCAGCGGTGGGGGGCGCGAACTCTACTTCTATGAGGAGAAGGAGGTGGACCTGAGCGACGTCATCAACACCCCCCTCCCCCGCGTCCCTCTGGACGTCTGCCTCAAGGGTAAGGCCCGGGAAGGAGGCGCCAGAGCGCCAGCAAGTGCTGCGGGCATGGAAGCAACCCTTCTCCATCTGCAGCGGCCCCTTCGACTTCCCACCAACCCCTTCCCCCCCCCCCCCCCACACACACACGCAAAAGAGGAGGAGGAGGAGGAGGAGGACCACCCCCACCCACCCCCAGCAAGGGCCAGAGGTGCAGAAAATGGCCCTGGCACCTGAAGTGTGCCACACTGGGACCCCCCACCAGAGTGGTGATAGGAGCTGTCATGAGGTTGCTGCCGCCCCCCGTCCCCCCATGTCCGCTCAGCTTTCCTGCCCTTGAGATTTCTGTTGGGCTCTTACTTGAATCGGGGGGGGGGGTGTTTGCTCCTATAGGGATAGGGGATTCATAGACATCAGCTGTGCCTGAGTGCCCACCTGGTTTTTCAGAGACACTCAGAGGCTGCCTGATGTGTGACGGGCTCTCTTTGGGTTGAAAGGCAGCGTATGAGTGTTTCAAATAACTAAGCAAGACCAGGTATGGAAGCGTGTGCCGAGGGGGATGGGATTAAAACACACAGCAGGCGTAATTGCAGAAATCTCAAAAGTTAAAAAAAAAACCAGGTGATTTTTAGTTTTATGTGCCGTGTGGAAGACTGATGAGCTGTTAAGGTCTAAGGAAGGGTTTTCAAGCGTCGGAAAGTGGGAAAGGTTCCTGTGCTTTGCCTGAGGTCGCTTTGTTTTCTAACAGCACACTGGCTGAGTATCGAAGGAGTTCAGCCTGCCATCCCAGAAAACCCACCCCCAGGTGAGTGGAGACCAATAGCACCGGTTTGGGGATCTTTGCTTCCCGTGGGGAAGGAAGGTTGTCTCCTGCAGCGGGCCAAAAACAAGGGGCCCCACCCCGCCCAGCCTCACGTCAGGCACCCGCTGGCCTCACGCCACCTCTCCTCCTCCTCCTCCCCCCTTTCCAGCTCCCAAGGAGCAGCAGAAAGCCGAGGCCACGGAGCCGCTGAAAGCAGCCAAGCCTGGGCAGGAGGAAGACGGGGCCCTCAAGGGCCAAGGGCAAAGCGCCACGCCCCCTGATGGCAAAGGTCAGTCCCACTGCATTCTAGGGCTGGGGTTGGGGAGGGGTTGATGGAAACCCAGATGGCCAAAATGTCCCTCTGAAGAAGAGCCATACCTCCGGAGTCACGTGGAAAGTGCCTCGTGTCTCCTCCGCCCCTGCTTGTAGCCAGCTGGGTCAGCAGCCCCCTTGGAGACTCCAGAGGTGCCAGTGGTGCCGAGCTCATGTACTGCCTGTGACGGGCCCCTGTGGGAAGCCTTTGACACTGCGGGGCGCTTCCAGAGTCCCTCTTTGGGCTTCCCGCCAGCCGCTGTGTGTCCCGGATGGAAGGTTCCCGCCCCTCGAAACATGCTGCAGGGCCCCAGCAGGGGGGAGCGCCTGGCCTCAGCAGCCTGCTGCTCTGCCCCCACCCACCCACCCCGTTCCTGCAGGCAAAGAGAAGAAGGGGCCCCTCTTGGAGGGGACCCCCCTGAAACTGAAGCCCCGGAGCATCCACGAGCTGTCGGTGGAGCAGCAGCTGTACTACAAGGAGATCACCGAGGCCTGCGTGGGCTCCTGCGAGGCATGTCCCCGTGCGGGGGGGTCCCGTTTCGTTGCTCTCCGGGGGGGGGGGGGGGCGTGTCCTGGCGAACGCCTGGTCTGCTGGGAGAGGGCGGTTGGAGCCTCTTTGGCTGCCGGACTGAGCAGGTCTCCCGGGAAGGCGCTTGTGGAGGAAAAGGGCAGTCCTCCAGTCTTGCCCTGGGATGGCGCAGCCGAGTGGCATCTCTCTGGCGTCCTGCGTGGTCTCCCCCCCCACCTGCTCGTCCCGTAAGAGGGATGGGTGAGGAAAGCCGGTTCTGGTTCCTTTCCCCTCTCTGTGTGTGTGCGCCTGCCCCCCCCCCCATCATTCTGGGGCCTCCCTTCTCCCCAGGAAGCCCTCCAGAGCATCGCCACGGACCCGGGACTG